CGCAAATATTGGTCTGTGTGGGTGGGCTTACGATATACACCAGTTTCCAACCATCCTCCATCCGAAACCGAGACCCACTCCTCCCCCTGTTAACAATAGGTGTTAATTAGGTGTCAACGATAGCTATGCAATGTGAGTATCAGTCACATGGAGGCAGGGCTTAAAAGCCTGAATTTTGCCTGAAACTCTCAGACTGAAGAAGTCTCTTGGAGGAGAGACGAAACGTTTCATTAAAGAAGAACCCGTCCAGAAGACCTATACAATTTATTTCCTTTTGATTTTTTACCTGGATTCCGGAGATGCATCAGGATGTCAGAAAGTATGAAAATACAAGACTGGATCTAACATTCAGTTAATCAGTAACAAAATTTCCTTCAATTCAATTTCTTTAACATACATAAATCTAACCCATAAGGAAATTAAATGAAAAATAGACAAGTTTGAACACCTTTTCATCACAACAGTATATTTTGACCAGATATATTTAATATCTGCCCAATAGTTCTGTAGCTTTGTGTGATTCTCCAAATGCTCCTTTGCTTGTTTCACAGGGACCTCGAAGTACAACCCCAGGCAAAAAGTATGGAATCAGCAGTCTTGGATGAGCACTCATTCAGACATTTCATTCAGTAAAACAAACTCAGATGAAAAACATGATACAATAATAAGGTCATTCCAAAGTGCAACTTGTTGGCTTTCAGGAACACTCAAAGAAGTGAAGAGAAAACATTGTGGAAGTCAGTGAATGTTACTTTTATTGACCAAGCACATGGAAAAAATACAGAATCACTCAAACTGAGGTAGAAAATAAGGACACATCCAGTCAATTTCCTTTCCCTAAATGGACACCTGCCTCGGATTAGATCTTCTTGTTAGTCTGCAGTTAAAAACACCTGCAGTCATGACATCTTGGAGGGCTGCTGGACGAAGTGGAGTGGCAAGAACCATGGCTCCAACAAGAGAAATGTCTCTTGAAACAAAAGAGAGGATTGTAAAACGTCTTGAAGAAGGTAACTCTTCACGCATGGTTGTTAAAGATGTGGGCTGTTCACAGTCAGCTGTATCCAAGATATGGACCAAATACAAACAGTATGGAATGGTTGTTAAAGATGTGGGCTGTTCACAGTCAGCTGTATCCAAGATATGGACCAAATACAAACAGCATGGAATGGTTGTTAAAGCCAAGTGTACTGGTAGACCAAGAAAGACATCGAAGCGTCAAGACAAACAGCTTAAGGCCATTTGTCTTGAAAACTGAAAAAGTACAACTAAACAGATAAGAATAAATGGGAGGAAGCTGGAGCCAATGCATGTGACCGAACCGTAAGAAACAGAGGCGATTGCTCTAAGACTGCAAGGGAAGCTCAGCTTCCCCTAAAATGTAAAAAACAAGTGATCAAATATATATACACTGTTGTGTGTACATGTCACTGACTAAATATGTGCTACAACAAGCTCAACTTTTGTTCAGAATCAGCTTCTCACTGGTAACGACACAGCTTTCCTCTCCCTCATTCCTGCAGCTTCACAGAGCTTTAAACAGTCGGACGCTCAGCGTCCACAGACTTCAGTAGTGAGGCAAAAAAAAAATGCAGCGAAACGAGACGAGTCATTGGCTAATGCTGGGCGTTGTCCCGCCCCTGGACGCTCAGCGTCTCTGTGGGTCTATGGAGCAAGTGGGCTGGCTCGGACGCCCAGYTTCTGCATGATGATTGGATGATCTGTCTGAGCCTGAATCCCTTTTTGATTGACAGCGAAATGAGCGAATCAGAGATCTTTTAGTGTAAATTCTCTTCTAAAAAGTATTTTATTCTTGTCTCTGACTCCAATCCAAGGGCAGTACACAGCAGTCAGCAGGCAGGCGGAGGCAGTGAGGTCTTGGGCCTCATCAGAAAAAAAAAACAAAGCCCAGCCTATCAAAGGCAAATCTACAGGAGAGGCTGCACAAAATTAATAGACTGGCCTCAACATAATGATGAATCAACTTCTGAAAGGGCCAATATCATGTGTTTCTCAGGCATATATTTAAATACTATACCATAATAAAGTCTCTACGTCACCTATAGTTGTTATTAAAAGGCTGTTTTTATGTTTAAATAGAAAATAAACTTATCTTCTCATCACTTCCTCTTCTAAACACTTTGAAATTGGCCTCTGTCTCTTTAAGAACCTCCGGGTCTTCTGCCCCGTCGGTCGGTGGTGGGGAGGGGGTCGCGCGGGGGGGTTGTTTCTCACGTGAGCTATGATGCAGTTTACTTGGCATCTGAAAATACATTTCCTCAAAGATATTTTGAATCTGAAAAGAGCTTCACTGAGTGAGAAGTAGTGGATCTCAGCAGACAGTTAGGTTTCACTTTCACTTTTGCTCTTTTATTGCCGAGAGCCTGCAGGAGTCATGGGCAGGGTGTGTGGGGAGGGGGTGCGCTCTGCCATGAGGAAGTTCAGCTTAAAGACACGTCCCAGGGGTGTTTCTGGTACCAAAAGG